AAAAAAAAAAGAACAAAACTGGTCTTCTATTAAGTACAGTGGCTTCTAATAGCCACACTGGCATGTTGGCGGTTTTTAATTTCTATCGTGCTCATCTTCCCTTCCTTAACAGAAAGGCAAACCGAAAAACAAGAACTATTTCGTCATGCTGCCCACCATACTGTACATATTGTTTAGCTCAAACTTGACAACGAAGTGATACGAGTGTCTTAAGTGGCAGTCAATGCAACTCATTGCACAAGAAGCAGCGGTTGAGCAAAAAGTGAACGATGCTTCAAAAAACAAGCTTCAAAGCAGTTGAATGCCACTCGCAGTTGAAGTTCACTGTCAAACTTAAATTAAGACCAGGAGAATTACACATTGTGCGTTTTAATGGAACACTCTAAATTGTCCGAAGGTGTGGGTGTGAGGGTGGATGGTTGTTCGTCTCTATGTGCCCTGCAATTGGCTGGCAACCGATTCAGGGTGTCCTCCGCCTATTGCCAAATACCGAACGAACTGTCATCAAAAAGGAACCTGTTACATTGTACTTAGTAGTCTGTGATCTCTCTCCAGAAGATGGATGAGATAAGAACTGATGCGGGCAACGCGGAGGCTCCTTCCGCCGACGTTCCTCCCCCTCTGAAGCAAGGCGAGACATTCCACGTCTTCATCAGCTACAGCAGCACCGACTACCAGTGGACGCACTCCCTTATCCAGCAGCTGGAAGCTCAGGGCCTGCACGTCTGTTACCACGAGCGCGACTTCACGGCCGGGCGTACCATACTGGAGAACATGTCCGAGTGCATCCAGGACAGCCAGAAAGTCCTGCTGGTCCTCAGCTCGGAGTTCGTCAGGAGCCGTTGGTGTCTCCTGGAGGCCAACATGTCTCTGTTCAGGGACTGCCTGGAGAGGAAGCCCATCGTCCCCGTGCTTCTGGAGCCGGCCGTCTGCGTCCCGCTTCACCTGTGCCACCTCACCTACCTGGAGGCTCGGGACGCCGACTTTATGGCCAAGCTGCTGAAGGTGCTCTTCACCCCCAACCGGCAGCTCCAAGGCTCCACGGTGGTTCCCTACCAGCCTCCGTCCATCTACAACGGGAAGGCCCTGCAGCCTTTAACTGCTGCTAACGTGGAAAGTCTTTACAAGTGGGATGCGGGGCAGTTCAGTGACATGGACGTACCGGACCAACTGCGCCTGATCATCGAAGACCCAGAGAAGTACAGGAAGGCCATCGCCATCATCAACAGTGTGTCTCCTAATAAAGTGTGGCTGCGGCCACTCTGGATCAGGGCTGTGGTCTATGTTGCTGGCGTGATAGCCTTTCTGTCATTCATGGTAACATTTTTATACGCAACAGCTCACTCATTGGCTAATATTTTGCCTTTAACCCCCTCACACTTTCCCATGGGTGGGCGGGCCGTAATTATCATATGTTTCTTCCCCGTTCCGATCGGCTTGCTCATTCACCTTTCTCTTTGGAAGAACGATGACGAGAAGCACGTCGTGAGAGAGATGCAAAAAGCCGCGGGTCAGGCCAATGCAATCCTCATGGAGGAGAAGCTCCTGATGGGTTGTCGGTCCAATTCAATCATTTATCTGGCGTATGTTTCTTTGGACGATTGCAAAAGGGAGTTTACGGTGACGTTTGAGGATCCGGCCAGCGCTGAGGAACTCTTTAAAATAGCTCTCGTCTGGTTCTCCTCAGGGTACGCCTGCTGCCTTGCAAAAAGGCACTTCCCCTTTCCTCAGCCGTGCCCCGGCCCGGGTCACTTGGAGGGAGGAGTGTGTTTTTGCCAGTACGTTTCCCAGCAACTGAGCCGAGGGGAGTGGAAGTGAGTGTACTGCGCACACCGAGACCTTGTGTACACCATTAGCGGGCCGTGTATTTTGGCACAGGAGACTTTTCCATGTTCTTGAGTCGTTAAAAATATGTCTTTCTTTTGTTTCTTTTAACCGTGTATACAAAATAATTTTCCATGGGAAAGGATCTGTCAAGACTTAATTCATCTCGGTGATGATACTGATGAACCAAGTCTCACCATTTTCACTGAAGACAGTATTGTGACAGAAAACAAATATAAACAGTATTTTGTTGTTTCCTGATTAAAATGATGCATCATTTGACAGCATATTCTCTTGGGTTTGTAATCATCATCTCGGTTTTATTGGAGTTAGGAAGCAACAAATCACAGGAACTGCACGGGCTACTTATTTCCAACGACATACAGTGTATAGTTGGGTACCATCAGCATAACAGTGAAAACTAATGTCATATTCACGTATGATGTCACCGAGCGGAGGCACGTAAATGCTATACAAGAGAGGGCCAAGTAGCGATCCCTGTGGGACTCCACATGTAACATTAAAAAAACTCAGATGTCGTATTACCATAATTTACAGACTGCATCCTCTCTGAGAAGAACTGAACCAGGAAAGAACTGAGCCTAAAATACCAGCACACATTCTGAGGTGTTCTAAGAGACATTATGATCGATGGTGTCAAAGGCAGCGCTAAGATCGAGTATAAAAAATATTGATGAGGTGTCAGATGCCATAGCTAGGAGAAGACCATTGGTCACTTTAGCAAGGACCGTTTCAGTCGACTGGTGGGCCTTACACCGTGACGGAAAACCGCTTGTTAGCATCCATGCAGTCATCAAACTGTTGCGCTCTGACTTTTTCAAGAATTTTCGCAACAAATGGGAAATTTGAACCGGGCCTGTAGTTATAGAAACTCTCTGGGCCGAGATGTGGTCGCTTAAGAAAGGATCGAATAACAGCAGTCTTAAACGCTGCTGGTACAGCGCCAGAGGATGGTGATAAATTAATAATATTTAAGATGGATGGGCCTAAACTCATCAACAGATCTTTAACGTGTTTGCCAGGAAACGGGTCGAGAGCACGCAAGTTGTCTGTTTTGCTGCCCTAACCAGTTTTGTAAGACTTTCAAGAGACACTTTTTGAAAAATGAGAAAGCGTTGTCAGGCAACTATTAGCCCTCATGCTTCAATATATGTATCTATAAACTGGCATTATTGCTGTATGACAATTCATACCTTCAACAAATTATTGCCAATTTTGATTCATACCTTGTAAATTCATACCGTGAAAATGCATCTGAAATTATTATTATTGTCCACCGTCCTGTATCTCTTTGCTTTCCCTGTATGCAACCAATTTTGAGGGGGCAAGCTCTTTATGCAATATTTAAGCCAGGCAGAAGATGAGCAATAAATAGGAAGACATCTGAAAATTTGGTCAAGATGTGAAACCAGCGCACCATACTGCAAATGACAGGATCAATATTTGCCGCCCTTTACGGCATTTGGAGAAGGGATTCAGGATATGAGGAAGCGTGCGAACAAACAGTGGGAACACACATTAATGAGAACATTGGATCATGCGCCCATCACAGCAGGGTTGACCGGCGGGTCAGTGGTCACGGTGTGTGAGCGACAGCCGTGTCGTGTTTGATGAGCAATGAAAATATGGCCTCAATTAAAATCAAATTAAGAGGCCATGACGCATGACACAAGCAGCAAATAATGGTGGCACTCATAATGAGAACACTCATTCGTATATTGTCCAAATCTTATGTCATCGTGTGTCTGTGTCAACAGAAGTGTTTATGTCATCGTTTACTGACCTGTTTTTTTTTTCTAATATAAATCAAAAGGTTGAGGCATTAACCCAACAACCTGTTTAGTATTGTGCTTGTACTTTTGAAGCGGTGCAGATGTGGTCAGCGGCTTCTGGACAGCTTTCAGGATACGATCGAGGGATGGTGGGAGCGAATTCAACTCAACTCGCGGTCACAGCTAGCAGCACTTTTGCTGATACGTAGCTAACGACAATTCTTCAGAAAAAACAGACTTGTAGCTTTTTATTGACAATCCCATTTAAAATAAAAAGCAAATTTAAAAAGCAGATATAATGTGTATTTAAAACAACCACCTCACATGGAACACAAAACTGCCTTAAAACAGTCTGCTAGCTCAATGCTAACACAAAATGCGCAAAGCCATCGACGGGGTCAGGAATATTATCATTTTCACTGTGTTACTAAATGGATATTCTAAAATGGATATTAAAAGACAAAGTGTTACATGACATGTAGGCATACACCAAAGGAGTGCTCCTTTGATGTGCCAGGAACGGCGTAATTGCATGAAATGTACTTGAGTAGAAGAGTACAAGTCAAAATGATTACCGTCAGCAGGAGGCCCCATTTTACAAATGTCAAAGTGTCATGAAAGTAGCATTTTTAAATGGAAAAATTGAGAACAGACTGCCCGGAGACAGCTAGCATAGACTCCAGCACCCTTGTGAGGAGGAATGAATTACAAAATGGATGGACGGGTGGAATTCAGAACAGACACATCATTTAGTGCAGACATGATAAAGCCTTTTTGTGCGCTTACAATAATAATTACTTCTGCAGTGTGAACAGGGTATCATTTCACAGTTAGTCCGCAGAGACATACACATGAATGTGAACGCTTGTGTTATGTTTGTATGGACTAATACCGAGAGGCACACAAGGTCACGGTTGCGATTGCCTTTGGGACCACCAATGTGTTGCCGCATTTCCTCAGCGTGAAAAAGCCACTCAATGCACGTTCGCATTCTAGGAATAATTATCACGTGTCCAGTAGGGAATACAGCAACGGGATGAGATAGGAATATGGATGAACATGCAAACTCCACACAGGAAGGCCGGAGCCGGGATCGAACCCAGGGCCTCTGCACTGTGAAGTCAACGCGCTAAGGCGAGCCTCATCCTCCATGCTGTGTGCACTTTGCCATGTGCTCCACGTCGGCGATGTCAGAACAAACATGATAAGTGGTCGCGAGAGGAAACCCGGCTCAGCCTAGAATAGGGGCGACTTGATTGGGCCTTTGTTGCGCGGCGCTGCCTGCGGCGGCGTGATATGCAAGGGGACAGATTAGCGCCCACGTGGAATTGATTGCGAACTGACTTTGGCATGCTCACATGCAGTTTTTTTTTTTTTACATCACTCAGTTGACTTGAATGGACTGGCAGTGGTTTAATTTCCAGTTGATGACAGCACTGGGGGAGTGATCATGATGAACAACAGTGATAATTATGATTAACGTGACCTTTGTCCTTCCATTGCTGACAGGGCGATGGAGGATTTGGCCAGTGAGCTGGTTATTTTTTAAAAATGTTATTCCGTACAAGATAACCAAGGCGGTCACATCCGTGTATGCTGTATGTTCCAGGCACATGCACAGAATGTGACTTTAATGACAGTAAAACATGTGGTTGGGCAGTTTGTAGTGCCCTGAGTCAAACTTTAAGCGAGAAGCATTTTTTATTATTTTCAAAATGACTGGCCGCAAGCCGGCCGCGACCACCCCGTACGCTGATGAGTGGCAATCACTATCAAGCCCCCAGGCCTAAAATCGCATCTGGAAAATCACCTCTCATCTTCCAACCCGAGAAACTTGCAGTCTTGTTCTTCTGGAACAATCAATTCTGCATGATTCCCCCCCCCAAAAAAAGGCAGAAAACACTGACGACTGAGTGACTTGGTAAAACTGCATGCGCGTCTCGGGGATGGAAACACAGCAGAAGACTCTTTTCGGGTTATACTTTTCATACTTTCCGATAGGAAAAACTTTTGTAATCATTTCCAATTCTGTTTGTGTAAATTACAGTATTGATTTTTTATTTAGTTATTTTTGGTTCCTGAAGAAAACATATTCCCTTCCGTGCGTCGCATATGTTTGCGCTCTCGATTGGTTCTCGATGCGAATGACGAATTAAGGTCTCCATGTCCCTTTAGGAAGAAACGCTTTGAAGCCAACGACTGAATCAATCAAAATGCTGTGGCTATTTGAAAGTGATCCAAACCAAGCACGAAAAAAACAAACAAACAAACAACATACACAGTTCAATTATTCTAAAAAGCAATGAGTTCGGTCACATCAGAGCATCTTTTCATCAATGAATCCTGCTTTCATGTGCTTAAGCGCTACACTATAGCCTGGATTATTAGCCTGGAATATTCATTCGATGAAAACCAGAGTGGTGATGTTCTGCATCTGAGCTTCTCTCAATGCCACTGTAATGGCAAACGGCAGAAAGTGACATCACTCATCCATCAGGACGTTCTTCATATGATTTCTTCCTCATCCGCACAGTGTGAGCCAATAACGTCCTTCCGCCTCGGCGAGGAAATGAAGCCCTGTTCCTATTGCTTTGATCTTATATGTTCATCTGCCTAGACGACAGAATAGATCTGCGTCAATAACTGGATTGATTCGATTACACCTGTGTCAGCAACCATCAGTCACACAGAATGAGAGCTGGCAGAGATGCTCTTCAGGCTCTGCAGGGAGTAGAGTTTTGACGTTACCGTGGAAGAATAAAGCGGGTTCTGGGAAGACTTTCTTCTGGGAGGATTTTAGTACGTCTGTGGGAATCGTATTGCCCATTCATCCAGAGGATAATGTGAGAGGGCCTCGTCGCTCGTCAGCTCTGCTCTAGTGTATCCCAAAGGTGTTCACCGGGGTCAAGTTGTTCCCCACCAAACTCACCCAAGGATTCCTTTGCCCTTGCTTTGTGCACTGGGAGCAGCTAAGGGAAATTCCCCACATTGTTCCCACAAAATGGCTGGAATAGATGAATAATTAAAGGGGACGTGTTGTAATGACAACGAGGCACTCTAAAGCAGTCGCACACGGTTGTAATGCTGGATTTTTTTTGAAAGATATTGTTCAACCTCCTCTCTGCGATGTGCATGCACTTATGGCTGACAACGAGGCGCTCTAAGCCAGCCCAAATCCATGTAAGATGTCAAATCAGACTTTAAAAAAAAAAAGTCTTTTACTCTCCTCACACTTGCATTCTTTTTGGCGTGTCATGCAATGGCGCTTTTCTACCTCGGGTACTCAAATCACTTGACGCGGTTAAATCATTCACCTACTAGGAGCAACTGGGGGTTCAGTATCTTGCTCAAGGACACTTCAACATGGTCGCAACGGCCAGGGATCGAAACAACAACCTCTGGGATGGGAAACGACCACTCTACCACTGAGCCATGACGCCCCCCCCAACGCAATGATGGCCAACCACAAGGCACTCTAAAGCGGCCACGCCGGCAAACTCCAGCATCCGAAGGGAAGCTGTATTACTGGGGTGAAGGTATAGCTAACTACTTTTTAAGACTTTAACTGGTCTATAGCATGGGTGAGTCAAAAACCATGTGAAGCCCCTGCGGCTATCATACCGCGTCCTTATTTTTGTCCACGGTGAGTCACATTCATCATTAACGGTGCGACTGCTTCCTCAAATGAGCCGACACTTGAAGAAGAGTGAGTCAGATTCTGATGCATTTGATCATTTGACTCGTACATAACCCGAGAGAAGCCAGCTGCGGCCTCTCCCCGATTCACTTGTGACTTTGTGATGAGTTGTTTTAATTCACCGACCCACATTCTCGTCGTGTTTGCATTGAGCTGCAATGATCGCAAAGACGTTCCAGCTCTTCAGGCGCCAAGTGTGTGGCTCTTTGTTCGGCTTTGACTAATGGGGTTTCTTTCGCAAGTTCTCCCTTAACAGCTGGGTCAGATATTCAGACGCTACTCACAAAGCAGTTTGAGATCAGAAGCTTTCGGGTCATATTTCAGCCTGGTTTTACAGGTCAATTAAAAGCTTAAGTGACATAAAAGCAAGGTGCTAGCTAGCTAGCTAGCTAGCTAGTAACTATTAGCTAACTCATTCAGCTTTTAACTTTTAGTGCACAGTCGCAATATGTCACTTAAGCTTTTAATTCGTTAGCACTATTGTTTGTGATGTTTACCTTCGCCATTCTTCCGTGGGCATTCCAGAACAACTCAACAACTTAAAAGTAGCCCTACGATGCCACCGAGATTGCCGTCACAACAGTATGACACAATTCTCACTTCCCTGTTATATAATATAACCATAAGCAAATAAAAATAGCAGACTAGCTAGCTATGTTACTCACCCTGAAATGCAAGATCTATGCGGATGTAGTTCTTCTTTCTGTTGACGATGGTACAAGCAGGGCTTGCAGTTTTGTCTCTGGTGCAAACAGTTGGTTTCTCCACAAAATAAAGATGAACATCGGGCCACGTTGTAATCTCTTCCTCCCACTCTGTAATCCCATCAGGATCGCAAAGTTGCAAACTGACAACAAGCAGGAAGCATTGATCAAGCTACTGGGAGAGAGAATTGCAAAGAAACTGACCACATCACATTTCTGGGACACATAGTCAGCAAAGACTGCGGATCAGAGCAGGGCATAAAGAACTGAATAAACAAGGAAAAGACACGCCATCTGGAATTTCAAGGCTTTGTCCCTCTATAGCACAAGAGTGAAGCGCAACACTTGTCAATTAAAAGTCAATTAATGAGAACCTATTGACCACCGATGACAATGTAATTTGTAAACGGATGCAGTGAGGCTGAATTCGGCACTGAATTGTACTGTTGTACTTGAATGCCTCAGGATTTAAGGAGAAAAAATTGGGGAAAAAAAGGTCAGTCATCACATTTTTGTCGGAGTAGAATGGCTCTGCGCGTGAGATAGTTCCAAAGCAACCAGAACATTCTCCAGTGGTAGTTTAGGATCTCATCCAATTTATTTAACAATTACTGTTTTTGCAGGTGATACAATAATACAAATCTATTCTCCAATTTTTTGCGTCTGATCAACGATTGCAGTCAAATGATCGGTCTAATAAAAATACACAGTAGGTGAGTTTGTGGACACTTTGCAGCAATGCGAATATTGGCCCCCCGATATCCCTTTATGGCCGTTGCGTCACTCGCGTGGCTGTTCCAAATTGGACTCTGAACGCCTCACCATGAAGCAGTAATACAGCGAAAAAGCAAAGTCATGATCATAAGGATGCAACAAAATATCACTCAGAGTAAATTGTATGGAGGTAAAATGTACAAGAAAAAGTTGTGCATGCTCAACATGGTTCGGGTCAAACATTGCTTGAGTAATCGACACTGAGCAGATGCCTTTCAGTGCTCATCCTGTCATGGCAATAGTGTGTTGTGTAAACTTGCTGCGTCTCGCAGTGTAGTTCATATGATTGTAAAAGCGGATGACATGCTTCGTATCTATGTAGCGTCTGCCCCCAAACCACAATTTATATAACAACCGTAAGTAAGCAGCAGCTGCTGTCGTGCTGTCGTTCTCTTTCCATGAAGCAAGCGTATAATTCAATGTCTGGGTTTCTCTCTAGCGGGACCGCACACGAGTAGGACACAAATTGAAATTCATGCTCGTAGAAAATGTGAAAATTCACCCTGGATCAGATTTCGTTTTCTGGCTGGCTTATTTTACACAGGAATGTATATTTGCTTGTCAAACAAAAGAAAAGGAGTCATTTCGGTGGGCGTTTTGCCAAACTTCCAATTTGGAAAAAAAAAGAAAAAGAACACTGTATGCTTTTGATATAGATCCCAACATTTCCCATTAAAAATACATCGTAATAAGTCACGGTACATCTGGAACATACAAAATGCTTCTTACTCTTGAAAAAAATATGGAAGTGGTTTTCAGAGAAGGAAAATATGCGTCTCTTTTATCACACACTAGAGACCGTATGCAATGCGCGCAAGCCATCGGACATCCATTAAAATGCACAAGGTGTTGAAAGTACATCGTCGCCTCCATCTGGCGCGCGTTATTTAAAAGGGCCACATTCTTCTGATGCGTGACATTATACGTATACGCGTGTGACATGAAGCGTACCTTGAAATCTTAGAAAGACGGATATATTTTAATTGCATAACACCGCCATCCCCAGGTTTGGATTCGATTAGCGTCAACGCCAATGCCGGTACACAAGTGCATCGAACAGGAAGTGCAGAAGGAGTAATTGCAGAATTTTCATCTGAATGTAAAGCAGATCAAATAAACACTTAGGAATGGCTCTCGTTGTTATTTTGACAATGTTTACATTTAGAGCATTTTTTTAATGTGGAATCTGTTATGTTGTCAGTAGTTTATAGAACAAAACAACAATATTCATTTTGCTTAAAGATATACCTATGCTGTAGATTGAGAAAAAATGAAATATTTTTGCAATGGCTACTTGCCACACCACCAAACTACCATCAGTATTTGTAAACGTTTCCTGTTTTGTTAATTTAGTCAGGCACTTGGGTAGACAGCCCAAGGTCCTAACAGAGACGATTGACCTGAATTTAAAATGACACAAAAAAATAACAAAGACATGAGTGCTTTTAAAGCTGCTATTATGAATTTATGTTACTTTATTGAGCAATTTCATATGTTGGGGGGTGGGGGGGAATAAACACAGTTGTTGGTCTATTTTTTTAAGCTAACGTTGCACAAGCTGTGCCCTTTGCTGTGTTTCTAATGCAAATGCTACACTTATTGAGCTCTCATTTTTGAAAAAAGAAAACCACCACTGCATGTGATTTTGAAAAAAGAAAACCAAAAACCAAATGTTTCTGGCCTTTGATCTGCAACATGGGGGTGAGTATTCAATGCATTAGCTGCTGTTAGACTGTGAAAAGCCCTGGCGACAGTCGACACAACAAGCATTGCCGTGATTTCCGGCCACGTTGACGATGTCGCGTCAGGTCTTCATGTCGTGTGGCCAATTGGAGCAATCAAGTCCACATCTTAAATTAGATCTCCAAGAATCTCCCCGGGGCCTCCATAAACAGGAGATGGTGAACGGAGGGGACCTCCCCACTACTTTCCTTAATCCCCCCCGCCGGGACAAATCAGAAGACGGACAAACAAACACGCTCCAAAAGCTTCAAAAATAGTTCCTTTCTGTGCTCGTGATGTGCGTCTGACACACTGGAGGTCATTCTGGAAAACGCCCCTGAGCCATTTCAACTCTCCAACAGGAAGCCTTAACCAAGTGCGGGCCAAAAACAGGAGCAAGGGGGCCTCCCCAGGACCTCCGGTTTGTACTGTTTACTGAAGGATAATGAAGGAGAGTTTCTGCAGAGTGAATGCAATAAAGATCTGCTATCAACACATGGATCAGATAAAATGACCCGCTGAAAACTCAAGTGGGCTAACTCCAATTTTGCAGGGCAAAGATTTCACATTTTATGGCTGCTGCCCCAATGATTGCCGCTAAAATTTGGCGCAATAGTGGTGAAAGTCCGATAATTTGTCATGTCTTTAATGAATGTATATGTTATGAGGAAAACAAAAAGTAATTTTCCAAGAATAAAATGATGACGTTATGAAGAGAAGTCAGTTAAATTTCATTTGCCAGACTTAAACTGTAATATGAATTTATAAAGTCCCAAGAGAATGAAAGAAGAAGAAAAGGTGGACTGCTGACTGTAGAGTTTCATCATATATATGTGACGGGTCTCACAACTGTGATGTTCTCAAGCTCCACGTCGCTGTCGCTTCAATGAAACCAGACGAGTGGAATGTGGCTTTTCTCTCTTTTTTATGGGAGGGTGGCAGAAGTGGCTGGGGGGGGGGGGGGCGCTTCTGGGAAACAGTCTGGGCCTAATTGGAAGCGTCTCATGTGTATCCACTTAAACACACGTACAAAAAAAAAAAGAGTGGGGGCGCGAGGATCCCGCTGCTCGCCCACTTGGGTTTCCACCTGGGGAAGCTTCCACGCACGTTACGAGGCAGGCATGAACGTGCTAAGTGGGTTTCGATTTGGCATCGGGCCCACAACAGTAGGGCATACTGTCATACCGCAAGGACTGCTGCCTGATCGGTAATTGTAGACCTGGTTTCAGTTCGCCAGGTTTCTACATTCTGATAATAACAACAATTATAATACACAAGTCCCAGCCCTGTTTTGTATCGCCAACCACAAATGATAACCTTGAGATCTCTTGGCAGAAATTCTTTATTATGTCAGTAGTGATGGGAATTCCGGCTCCTTTTAGGGAGCCGGTTCTTTTGGCTCGGCTCCCTAAAAAGAGCCGGCTCTTTCGGCTCCCAAATGGCTCCTCAGTTTTTTTGTTGCTTAAATTAGTTTACTCCCAAAAATAATGTAAAATTATGTGTAAAATGAATTACGAATGTAAAAAATATACAGTATATCAAATATTTATTATTTATATGGCTTTCTTTATATTCTTCTGAACATACTCAACATGGCGTACAACATGGAGTGCTACAAAAAAATAAATTACAAAGTACAAAAACAAAGACCCATCTCAAAACAAGGTCAACAAAAAGTTCCAATCTCTGATTGTGCATATTTATAAGTGTTTAAATATTTACAGTAAAACAACATAAGTAAGCTTTGATTACCACACAACAAATTATAAATTAAAATTTGATATTGGATATTTTAACCTTGCACAGTCTACACGCTGCCTTTGAACTATCAATTCAGTTGAAATCGGTCCAAATTTCACTGCGTTGCCTATCCATTTTCTCACCTTTCCACTTTCCACCGTGTAGTTTTTTTCTCTGTACTGTCGCGCTATCGAGCTCTCTCTCGTCTCCCTGTCTCTCCTGTTCGTGTGCTGCTCACAGTGTGCTGCTGTGTCTCTGACTCCTCCCCCTTCTCTTCACTGAAGCGCGTGTGTGTGTGTGTGTGTGTGTGCGCGCGCGCGCGTGCGTGCGTGTGTGTGTGTGTGTGTGTGTGTGTGTGTGCGTGCGTGTGCGGCAAAGACCCGCGGACACACGCCAGCAACAAACACAACCAGCCATATGAAAAATGACATGAAAAACTTTATACAGTACAACCAAAAGGGAAACAAACATTACCTGAAACACAGTATAGCAGGGAATGGTGAAGTCACGTTTGGTGTCGGACATAGCTGAGTAACAGAAAAGCACTATTAACTCAACGGGTAAAAACTTTCATTCGACAAAACGTAAAATTAAATAACAATATAAAAAGCGATTTGGACTTGGGACAAATCAGGGAACTAATTAAAGACATAGCACCGTAGAAAAAGGAAAAACAAAGTTAAATATTGGAATTAAACTATAAATGAATCCGGACCGTCAATGAAACGTGACTTACCATGTGACTTCCCTGGCAGCTCTGCCTGAACTACGGCGGAAGCTGATGCCATACTGTGCGCTGTTGCGTCACTTCCGCGGTAATTTAATAAACACAATATATCACTCCGTTACATATAGACTAAAAAAAACAAAAAACTTTTAGATACAACTTTATTCTGTTCCATGACGCTTCTTATATGTATCTTAAATAATCTTTCCCTATTGAAATAAATAGAAATTGCGTTAATCCATTCCAAATTCCCTCTCCCCCCAATTTTCTTTCTTCTATCAAGTCATGTTGGGCAGTCTGTGTTGGTGCGGCTGGATGGATGGCTGCTGAAGTTGAGGATGAGGAGAGAGGAGCATCGGCGCGCAGCGCCAATGCGTATTTGGAACTGAGAGTTGCTGCTTGAAATTGAAACGAATTTACATGGGACAGGAGAAGTGAACCAAGTTCTTTTTTTCATCAATGGACACTACAGCTTCTTAGCATGTATCGCATTTTGAGCATGACGTCTCTGATCCACTGGTGAAAGGATGCTTTGATTCTCTCTTTCATCAAGAACTGCTTCAAACAACAAAGTCTATGAGGGAAAAGTGGTTAAGATTGCGCGACTGTGACTTTATGTTATGTGTTGTGTTTATTATTTACTTTATGTTAACTGTTTTGTGAAGCGTTCTGTTACAGCTGCAGCTGTTGTGAAAGCGCTATATAAATCAGGAGGTATTGTATTGTATTGTATGTTCAGTGTGTTGTACTGCTGAGTGAAGTGTTTAGTAAAACATCATATAAAACAACCAGACCATGAAATGTGTTTGTGTTTATCGTCGAGTTTGCTTGCTCACTGTCATGTAGTCATGATTCAAATGCAATGGGCCCATTTTCAGTGAGCCGTGCATTCTATATGGTGCTTTGATGGGAGCTCCAAATTTGATTTCATGTTTCAGAACCCCCTTTAAAGCATTTGGGGGGGGGGGGGCTACAATCGTTTGCCCACTTTTGCCTCACTTGGCAAATGTTAACATTTTATTCCAAGTTCTCATAGGTGCTTCTTCTTCTGTGTTCATGCATCCACGAAGTGCATACAGTGCTGCTTAATTTTTTTTCTCTCCACATTTTATGACGACATTCACTTTCCCCTCAAAATTCTACACAAAACTGGGTTGGACTGAGCTTTGATATTTTGCAGTGTCCATGCGTGAGATCACTGATGTAAGACCAAGTAAAAGCATCTGGTTTCTTTTCCCTTGTGGAGGCAGCACTTTATCACGAGGTCCATGTGGTACATACAACGGACACACATTTACTCCCCGCCCCAACATGGACAATTTTTTTAGCTAACGCTCATTTGTACAAACACTGCAGCTCTGCTTATCATTTGGCTTTGACATAACAGTGCTTCAGTGTCCATATTGAGAAGGTGAATTTGTGATTTGCGAACCGTTCACGGGACTAACTTCAAAGTTGATCTCCGATCTGCTTGAAATGATCTGAAATAACCCCTTCATGTTTTTGGAGAGTCTTCCGCACCAGAAGTCGAAAAACTAACGGGAAGCTCATGGGCGATTTCTCCGCGAGCATTCCAAAGACAACTGTGCTCAATCCGTTCGTTAAGTCGACTCTAAATAAGAAACACGTAAGTGACATAAATCTTTCTTCTGGGAGAGATAAGCCCCAGCATACAGTTGTGGAAATCTTCCCTCGCTGCACAAACGGCATTCCATGTTGTCAGTCTGCCACAAGACTCGCACGACATGCGAGGTAACACATGGTTCTTAGTAATCGCTTGCTCGTTGAGATTATTTTCCTCTCGTCTCCTTACGGGAGACGTGCGACGTGTTGAATGCGACGTGTTTGAATACTCGCAAGTCCTTTCAACACCAGCGTGGAGGGGAGAAAGTGAAGAGACGGCGCGCGTGTCCTCGCCAAACGGGGAGGGATTAAGGAATGCACACTGTAAAAAGTGTTATTTGAAATTCACACACGACCCACACATCTGTTGTATTTTTAAAAAAAAAATGAGAACAAAATCAACCATTTCAAAACTTCCGTGTCCTTTTGGAGATTTTGTTGCGGTCCGATGAAACCAAGGTCGAACTATATGCTAGAATAACAGAAAATTATTGGTAGTTAGTCAGAGGCACTTGAAATGTCGGCAGCTGTGTGCTGACTCCCGTCGACGATGAATGTACAGCACATGTGACTAATTCTTTCACACGAGTGCGACCGGGTTCGGTTGTCTCATTTTTACATCGCCTCTCGAAAAGATTCTTCAAGAAAAATACAATTTCAAGCTGTACGGGTTATGCCATCAATAGTGAAAAACAGTTGATTGAAGGGTTCGTTGTTTTTGAATGGATGGCTCTACTTTACGAAACGGCAAAAAGGGGGGATGGATTCCGCTTGTACGCAGTTTTATCGAAAGGACGTCTGCACCGTAATACGATCGCGAACACACACTCCGCAACGAAAAAAAAACACTCTCCGCAACGAAAATCACTTCCTGCTTTCCCTTACTTCAACAGCCAATCAGAAGCTATCACCATAAAAACAACTTTACGCAATTATGAAACACCAGAATGAAATTGAGGTCATCTTAACATAAAATGATATGATGCTCAAACAAATAAAAGACAATAATTAATAATATAACATAATCTTACAAAACCATAGCATTTCAACAGTCCTGCGTTAGACATTTTATAATTACAGATTACATTTGACATCCTTTCCAGTGTTCTCAGCTGTGAGAGAGGCACTTCAACCACTGCAACCCGCTTATTCACATGAGCAGAAAAAGACAAATTCATATCAAAGTTTTCTTATCTATGGCCGAGTTAAAAGACAAACTAGCGCATGAGCAAAAACTAACATTGATGTTACCGTAGTCGGAGTAATACGAAAACGTAATTAGTATTCGTCAACGATCAACATAACTGGCATCCCTTATGAGCAAGCTCGTGCCGTGAGTCTCAATACTCAGTACTGGGGGGCGTGGGCGTGAATTTTTTACAGCGTATCAACCTTGATGCTCTCCCGGTGTGACATATGATTCGGGTTGAGAGGCACCACAGCAGCAGATGCAGAGCAGCAGCTAAGCGGGCTCTCTCTCTCTCTCTCTCTCTCTCGCTCTCTCTGTCTCTCTCTCTCACTTCGTCGCGCTCCACGGCACCTTATACGGCTCGGCGGGACACGGCAGCCCTCCTCCCGCGCTCCCGCGATGCCCCGTTGCTGATCCGACGCGCACCCTCGGCCCCTCGGTCCCACTTCGCGATGGGCAGCTCCGGCGGCAACGACAGCGTCCCCCTGAACGCCTCGGACCCGTTCGCGCGTAACGAGGAGGTGGCCCAGATGGAGATCCTGGTGCTGAGCGTCACCTTCGTGGTGGCCGTCGTGGGCAACGTGAGCGTCCTGCTGGCCATGCACAACACCAAGAGGAAGATGTCGCGCATGCACCTTTTCATCCGCCACCTGAGCTTGGCCGACCTGGTGGTGGCCTTCTTCCAGGTGCTGCCTCAGCTTTGCTGGGACATCACGTTCCGCTTCTACGGGCCGGACTTCCTGTGCCGGATCGTCAAGCACCTGCAGGTGACCGGCATGTTCGCGTCCACCTACATGATGGTGATGATGACCGTGGACCGCTACATCGCCATCTGCCACCCGCTCAAGACGCTGCAGCAGCCCACGCGGCGCTCGTGCGTGATGATCGTGTCGACGTGGACGTTCAGCCTGGTGCTGAGCGTGCCGCAGGTGTTCATCTTCTCCCTGAGCGAGATCCAAAACGGCACCGGCGTCGAGGACTGCTGGGCGCACTTCATCGAGCCGTGGGGCGCGCGCGCCTACATCACCTGGATCACCGTGGGCATCTTCCTGGTGCCCGTGGTCATCCTGGTGGTGTGCTACGGCTTCATCTGCCACAGCATCTGGAGGAACATCAAGTACAAGAAGAGGAAGAGCGCGGGACACAAGGACGGGCTCATCGGCAAGAACTCGGTGAGCAGCATCACCACCATTTCCAGGGCCAAGCTGAGGACCGTCAAGATGACGTTCGTCATCGTGCTGGCCTACGTCGTGTGCTGGGCGCCCTTCTTCATCGTGCAGATGTGGTCTGTGTGGGATGACAAGCTCCACTTCACCGGTGAGCGTGAAAATGTGATTGAATTCGTCCGCCCGGCGTGCGTTCAAGTCGTGCGCGCTTTCGGTTACGCACGCCTTTTACGCGTGCTTTTTTTTTTTTTTCCGCTGAATAAGCGCACCCAAGAGAGAGCAAACGCGAGTTAATCGACGATCTCGATCCACGTTGTGTTCATTTCGATTGAAAGGAATATTACAAAACATAACCACAAGTAATTAAAACCCGATCTGAGGATTTCTTACAAAGAAAAAAAAAATAGCCCTCTCATCAGAGGCCATTACTTGGTGTAGTTTGACGTGATTGAAAAAAAAGCGAGATGGATTCATACAAGATGTGATTTGAAAGCAAAACAGTCATTTTGAAGTTCAAGTCTTATTTTGGAAAGGATTTTCACTATAAAATCAAACAGTGGTTGAAATTACAGACATATTTGGCAAATATGTTTTAAAGATAGATTAATGATGTTCATTAATGTTACGTTAAAACAATACAGGTTCTTACATTCTTTGTGACAAGCAACATCGTGAATGTCCTGTAATTGCCCTAAAAATAAAAATATTTGCATTTCAAGCAGCTCCACACAACTGTACAAATTCGGCCAGTGCTCCTCAATTATTTTCTGTTCTGCTCCTCTAAGGAAGGAGAAAATATGTCACGACCCCCCCGCATACGTCTGGATAGCATTGTATCATTTTTACCAATACAGGAAGCAAAAAAAAAAAAAAAGAAATATACATGAACTTACACGAAGAACAAACAACTTTAGTAACAATATTTTCTTGTCTCTCTCCACCTTTCTTTTCATCGCTTTGAAATATTTTTTCATTGTGTCTCTTAAGGGTTCGTTCACTGCACTTGATATCTGCTGCTGTGTGCTGTGTGAGTGCATACTTGTTGCAACCCCCCCACCCCCCAACAAAACCCCAACAACCTTGAACCTTAAGCTAAAGAAAGTGCCACCACCACCTACTGTAGGGGATGTGCAATTACACTTTACTCTAGCACGGCGAAACCAAAAAAAAAAAATCATATTCCCTGCGGTCACTCGTGCCCCAGCTGGCTTTGCTCGGCCCCACTATTTGGGAAGGACCGAATTAGGCTAACGGTGGCTCAACAGTGTGTATTACACTAGCATAATAGTAATGTTAAATGTTACGTAAACTCTTATCTGTGTGTCAGCCTCATCCTGTAAGATAAGTAAAATGTGCGCAGGTGTTATCGCTCTCTCACTTCGCCGCCATAGGAATGAAACTCAGACAGCCGAGCCTACGAGCCAAGTAAATCAACTCATTTTTTCTCTCTCTCTCTCTCTCTCTCTCTCTCTCTCTCTCTCTCTCTCTCTCTCTCTCTTCCAGATTCCGAGAACATGGCGGTGACGCTGACGGCGCTGCTGGCCAGCCTGAACAGCTGCTGCAACCCCTGGATCTACATGATCTTCAGCGGCCACCTCCTGCAAGACTTTGTGCACTGCCTGCCCTGCTGCCAGCGAATGAACGCCGACTTCCGCAAAGAGGACTCGGACAGCAGCCTGCGCAGGACCACGCTGCTCACCAAAACCACCAATCGCAGCCCCACCGGCAGCTCCGGCAACTGTAGGGAGCTGGACAACTACCCGAAATCCTCCCCTCAGGCCGAATGAATGCGCTGCCCGGCAACTGTTTACTGGCCTGTGGAATGGAAAATGGAAGGTACACAAACATTGTTAGCACGTCCGACCTGCGGGAGTGGAAATAAGAACTCTCTAAAAATGATTTTCCAGCTGGATTGTGTGTGCTTACGTTTGTCTCAAAGGCTCACAGAAATACTGGAGGCCATTTGTGGCGGGGGGGGAACAGCACAATCGGAAGACCAGTAACTAATGAACCATGGTGACGCATTTGACATTGTTTCGTTGAATCTTGGTGTCTCACGAAAGTTCAAGGGTGATTGTCAGAAAGCAGCGGCATCCTCTCGGCATTGTGCGAACGTTGCGAAATATCGGCATTCTCAATTACGCTGTTGTGCGTCAACGGAAACAAGTATTTTTCTCATTAGCGTGTGAATGCCAGATGTCGACCCCCACGGACAGAGTCTTGCCACAAATAGCGAAAATTGCAGATAATTGAACCTACAACCCACCCCCCCACCACACCCAAAAGGGGTTAGTATAGATGCCAGAAGATACGGGCCACAGTACTTCAAGCCGAGATGATCATAAAGCATCAACACCTTCATATGAGGCCCACTAATATGAGTTAACATACTAGCCCGAATATCTGAACATAAATTGACATGTCATCACACACGGGCAAACAAATAATGCACACGAGCACTTTACGCAAAAAGGATGATGACATTCAACTCACCCTATGGAATTCACACACAAGGATAAATGTTGAAGGATACAAGTGGATTGATATGTTGAAGCTGCGAGACAAATAGAGCCGCAGTGGTGTTGTTGTTTTTTTTTTTTTTAAACGTACATTTTATTCATTCTTTCAAACTCCCAAACGAAAACAGACACGTCTCTCTTCGACAACGTGCCTTATCTTCTGAATTCGGCTCGAGAGGTGTTCAATGACCGCCTCACAAAAAAAAAAAACGTATATTAATGATTCCTTCAATGGCACCAAGAAAATCGAAAATAATGCAGAAAATCCAACGAGGAAATCACAAAATACATTCTATGGGGGTGTTTGTGAACACACAACAAAGGGAATTTTCTTTTAACATCATAGACAATTCTGAACCAGTTCAGTCTCCTGCAGTTGGAACGATTCAACTTTTTTTTCCCCCACAACAAGACCAAAGAAATCACATTCTAGGATATGCAGCGGTCTATTCGGTGGTAGATAATCGGTTGTTTGTTTTTCGTCTGTTGGCTTTTGGACTCCCAAAGAAGGAACGAATCGTGCGGCTTGTTTCGGACCAACGGGCTACTAATTTGTAGGACATTTGACCGCGGGAAGATCAAAGTATGAGAGAGGACGCCATGACATGGCCATCAGGTTTTGCTGAAGTTGATGTGGAAACTCTAAATGTTTAATTCCTTATTTACCCAACTGTTGATATTTATCTGCTTGAAATGACATGGGCTTCAATTAGGCATGAAAATCTGTGGTTTGAATCCATTTATTATTCATTCTTGCCATGTTCAGGGAAAGTCCAGCATCTTAGAAGTAATGTGTGCTTGTAAACAAATATCTCACATGTTTCAAAGAAAAATTTCATCAATCAGAAATTGTTCAAATGGGCCCCCGGGGGCTGATTACGATTTTGGACTTAACCCTCTGCGGTGGCCACAGTGAGTCACTCGCATTATTGGTTCGGCACGGCCGTTTGCTATCAGTTCTAAAACATTCGATTAGTTTCTGGAAAATATGATTAAAAGGCGAGATTGTGTCAAGGCAGTGGCAATGATGTCACGGCATCACTTGAAGCACTTTGGCGCCCCTTGAATTGCTTTATTTGGTGATTTAGCTCCGTGATGGCATCTCAGCATGCACACACAACTCGGGAGAGAGCGGCATGTTCTGGCTTCCTATAGATAGCTCCATTTCAAGCATTTCTTACAGTGCTGATTAGATCTCAATGCAGTGCAGGGCAACCCAACCCCCTTTTTCCTGTCAAAGTGTTTACAAAGGCAGAACCTCCGCAGCGACCCCGAGGTGTTGAAAGGAACGTTTGGACTTTGCGGCGAAGACGCCTCGTCATCCTTCTTAATGATCAGTCGTCCACTTTTAAAGTGGATCTTATGAAGAAATCCTTTGACTGATATCCGCTTTTGGTGGACGCTCCCGCAACGACTGTTCTCATCCGGCTATCAAGCGTCCACCGGAATCCCTTTGAAAGCGCCAAACGGTCGGCAAAGACGATTTGATGTCGCGGCGGAAGGGCCGTCATTTCGGAGGAGCCGGCGCACCTCCTGACCCCCTCGCAGCCCTCCCGTGGCCTCCTCGGTTACAGGCCCTACACATTCCTCGCGCACCACGTCAACTTTATTCTCTTCTGGCATCCTGCGCTGATGACTTGCCGGTTGGAGGGAAAGGGGAGCTTGGGATGTACGTCATTTCCCCTCGAATTAATGTGGCCTGCAAGACTGTAAATGTGCTTGGCGCTGCGATACCTCTCAACACGTGTATGTGTGAGGATGGAGCAGATCGGAAAATGGATGGATGGAGATCATCACAAGAGACTCACAGTCCATGTCTTCACTTCAACACCTACCAAGTACCATTCACAATACCAGCTCATGCTGTGAGATAACAAAACAAAACAAAAAAAAAACCTATCAAAATAAGACCGGAATAATATTGGATCAACCCGTAACTCTCTTGTCATTGGCTATATGTCCCCCCCCCCACAAAAAATCAGCTCTTGATGACATCAAGACTTATGCACGGTGCTGTTCACGCCCGTTGTATGAATAGCACTTGTTTTCAACTGTAAATATGAGCGCTATATGTAAATATATGCCTCTGTAATGCACGTGTGAATATCTTGCGAATACATGTCTCAAACCAACACTCGGCCTCCTTGCTTTTGCATTCAAGTCGCAGACGACAATCATGGCGCAACTTTTCGGCGCCTCCGAGCAAGTCCCAGATCTTTTAACGCTAGCTCGTGAGCAACCAAATCAACGGGGGCATGTTATGATGACACACTTTTGACCTTTATGCGCACATTGCTGTGGGAGACTCCGGAGACCGAGACGCTGGGCTGGACAATGCTCCGCGGCCTCGCACGGCATTTAACAAGCCCGGTCTTCTGTTCCAATCTCATGTCACCGCTCTCTGCGTTTGCCTCAGTGAGGCGCGACCACTCGAACATGTCACAGATGAGGAATGAACCCAATTTCACTTATTTGGTCTGTAAATAATGTATTCACCTCAAATAATTATTCTTTGTTCATCTATGTATGCCGGGAGCACTTTGTGGCAAGCAGAACTTTGTTTAGTCACGAGACTAGACTCGAGTGTTTCCCAACTGTTGTGTCACGGCGCATTAGCGTATCATGAGAGGCCATTAGATGTGCCATGGGAAATCGTCCAATTTCACTTAATCGAGGCAACGTCATGAATATTTCAGCATGCATGAGGAGATGTTTGTGTTTGTGAGATGTTTTTTTTTTCGTATGTCGAATATGTCCAGTGTAGTGGTAGTAGGTGTTACAGTGGTTGCCAAGCAACCCCCCCGCCCCCACAACCCATTCAACAGTTTTCATCAAAGCATTCATCGGGAAGCTTTACACGTCTTGATGACTCGCCCTGTGGACAAGTCCTCCTTTGCTGTTGGTACTGATTTCCAGACTTGACGCTTAAGCTAACGCAGGCTACGCGCGTCCTGACAATCAAGCCGAATCGAAGCATTTTGCCTTTCTTGCCATCAAAGTCGGCTAAAGGTGCAAGTCGCGAGCGTCTCTGAAAGATTTAGGGAAGGTGACTTGTGATTGGCCGTGCATACACAGTATGTTTATGTACACTACACTGGAGCAGCCAGCACGCAAATGGCGATTATTATTATTATTATTTTTAATTCCGTGTGGCCTCATGTTTTAAAAATTTGGTCAAATATCCAAAATGATGTCCTTAATATAACTTTGGGAAGTCTACTGATGGTAGAAAGTACAAAAACAGTCAAACTAAAATCACGTTTGAGTCATGCTGACTCAAAAGCCAAAGAATACAAATGAATTTTGAGACGAGTTTTAAAGATGGGCAGCGAGGGCGGAAAAGGCTCGATCCCCTCTGAGCCTCCGCTTCGTTCTTGGTACCTCGAATAATGTCCCGGTACGCAAACCTGAGGCACCACGCAGGTGTGTAGGGGCGGAGGAGCTCAGAGAGGTAAGGTGGAGCGAGTCTATTTAAAGATTTGGAAACAAATAATAGGATCTTAAAAAGAACTCTAAAACGACCCAGTGAAGTAATGCCAGAGTAGGAGTGATGCGCTCCCTCTTACGAGAACCAATCAAGAGGCGTGCAGCAGCATTCTGGAACAACTGGAGATGCTTCATGGAGGATTGGCTGACTCCAAAGCCAAATGCATTACAGTAATCCAGCCAGGATGTGACAAAGGCATGAGTTACTGTTTCAAAGTGCTCATGAAAAAGGAGAGGCTTTACTTTAAGCAGTAGCCCAAGATGAAAGAAGCTGGATTTAACAACAGTACCAACTTGCCGGTCCAATTTAAAATCCCTGTACAGTTTAAGACTGATGATTTAAGATAAGGAGCCAGGGGGCCAAATTCTGTCGGATAGGATGTACAAGGGCCACTGGGACCAAACACTAACCCATTCGGTCTTCTTTTCAATGAAATTCAAGAAATGTCGTGCCATCCAGGTCTTGATTTCCTCCAGGAAGGATAAAAGTGTAAAGGTGATACTGTTTTGCATTTTAGCCTCGGGATGAAATCCTCACCCGAAAACCAAATATCGTCGACTCTTTGCGAGCCGTGTGCATATTTTAAGCACTGGGGCCGAGCTCCGCTCCAGACCTTCACGAAAGCCATCGGCTCCTCATTGGAAACAGCGCATTTCTACGAAATAGCATCATGACACATCAGTTTGCTGCGAACAATTTGCCCCTGGCATGTCGTGCAGCACTTTCATCCCTTCTGATCCTCATTTGTTGTCATCTGGCTGCGCTACACACTGCGAGAGTCTGCTAACCGCATGGCACGAGCGCTGCGGGGGTAGCCCTTGTAGGAGATGGGGATTCAATCTTTATAAGGAAGGGGAACGTTACGAGTCTCCTGGTAAGCAAAAGTGCTCGCTGAGAGCAGTAAAACAATCACCGGGCCTGCTATTAGGGATCATATGGCTACTTCAGGCGTTCGGGAAGGCGGGTGTCTATAAACTTGATGGACATATCTGGAATTCCCAGCCTTGCAGGCGCTCAGCATCTCGTTAGGCATGCCAGGCATGAAGAAGGAGCACGCCGGACACGCTAACGCGATGTGGGCACAAGGCATAAGTCAACGTCCGGACTGGGCTAATGCCTCAGAAGCCGGCAATGGAGCTCCTCCGCAAGGGAAATAATAATGGCTCCTGGGGGAGATGCTTAAAAAAAACACACAAGGAAGCCACAATACTTTGGGTGTTAAGTACAGAGCTCTCCGGCTAGCGCTACGGTAACGCCGGTGTTTCCCAACCTTTGAGTCAAAGCGCATGTTTTAGAAAGATATCACGTCTACCCACCAAATAATAATTCCAAAGAGAGGGACTAGCAACGGCTCAAAAAAGTCCTCTGAGCCTCCGCTTACTTCTTGGTACCGCTAATAGTGCCTGGTCGACACAGTTGAGGCACCGGGCAGGGACGTAGCGGCGGAGGAGCTCAGAGAGGTATGATGGGGCGAGCCTTGAAAACAAATAGTAGGATCTTAAAAAGAACGAATATCTGTCAAGAGGCGAGCAGCAGCATTCTGGACCAACTGGAAATGCTTAATGGAGGATTAGCTGACTCCAAAGTAAAGTGCATTCCAGTAATCCAGCCGAGATGTGATGAAGGCGTGAATGACTGTTTCAAAGTGCTCTTGAGAAAGGAGAAGCCCGACTTTAGCCGGCTGTCTGAGATGAAAATCACAGTCCAGTTGAAGACCCAAGTTCAAAACTGTTGGCTTAAGATAAAGAGCCAGGGAGCCCA